CACACCATCCCTGCCTCGTGCTTCGCACGGAAGAATGCGTCAATGCCGTCACACTGCTCTATCGGCAAAGGCCATTGCCTTGTTACGCAGTATTTGGTTCCAAGAACTAGGTCAATCTAATGACACACGCCTCGATCCGGAGGCAGGCCCGTCGGTGGGTCTTTCGAGACAACGTCTCCATACTCCTTCACCACCGGGTAGAAGGGATCCGAAGGATCTTTAAGGATCGCCGATCCACTTCTTGCGCTCAGCGCCTTCTTGGTGTCCTCTAGGACCGCGTCGTCCACGACGGATGAGGAGTTCAACTCCTCCTCAGGTCCCAGCAGGACCACCTCGGCTAGCTCGCCTGCCTTTAAGGCTTCGCCGAACTCGGCAATGGACATCTCGTCCAGCTCTAGCAGAGCATCTGCAACGGGCAGAGTGTCAAGGCTGATATCGCCTTCTACCTCCCCCGTCACTCCGTTAACGAGTGTATACAGCTGTTCACAGCAATCACGTGGAGCATCACCGCTCGACACGTTGGACACATCGTCCGACGTCGAAGACGTCACAGATGCCCTGCGTCTTCTTCTCCTCTCCCTCCGCGACCGAGCCCGGCCGGATGAGGGCGGTGTGGCGACATCTCCATCACTCCCGGGTGCAGCAGCACCATCACTCCTCGAAGAGGATACAGTGTCTCGCACGACACTTGGCTGAAAGCCAAGAGGTTCTTGACCTTCACACAGTATACTAGGTGTCACTTCACCTGCATCTCCTAGGCCACGCCCATGATGCCTCGACTCGCAGTCGACCGCGACCCTCGGGTCACGCAGCGGTAGGTCATCGACCAGATTCGTACCACTCAGTGGATTACGCGCCACTCCGCGCTCGTCCTCACCAGGACCCAGCAGTTGGTCATTGACCCGACCTGCACCGCTCAGCGGATAACGTGCCGCACCACGTACGCCCTCAGGGCAAGCAGCAACCTCGTTGCTAACCATTTCGGACATACCAATATTCAGCACTACGGCCGCCTCGGCCTCGTGCTCGCGCCAAAAGCGCTTCTGCTTCCTAGCAGAGGTGGGTTCATGACTCACCAAAGCTCCACTAGGAGCAGGGTGCGACGCACCCAGCGTTTTCGACTTCCAGTCGATCCATGGCTCATGACGTTCCAGCCATGCCATGCCAAGGATGAGGTCATACCTCGCATCCAGGTCTAAGACCAAACAGCGTTCCACGCTATCGAAGTTCTCAAACTTCACTCCAAGGTCGACAGAGACCTTCGACACAGTTACCAGTGCCCCCGTCGCGAGACGGACAGAAATCGTATCTCTCGCTAGAACTTCTAGTGCCTCAGCATACAGCTGACTCCCTTCTAGGGTGGGGCGACGGGCGTAGTTGCCCGAGGCTCCCGAGTCAATTAAGACTCTCCATGGCTTTGTAAAGCTCTTCACGTTCCCTTGAACGACCAGCAAACCCGGCTTGCACACACTCTTTTCGTAAGAGAGATCAGCTCTCTTCGGGGCTGAGCCTCGTTGCCCTCTCTTCGAGGCACAACAGAACTCAGTTCTTCCCCAGTAGGCCGCCCCGCGCCTACTGGGAGCTGCCGTTTTCCGGCGATGACCCGGAGGGTTGGCTCGCCGGAGCCTCGCGCTTCTTACGCAGAGGACAATATTCCCTCAAGTGCTTAGTGCTATTGCACACAAAGCATCGGCGGATGCCGGCGCGCTGCTCCGCAGCGAGAAGCTCCGCTTCCTCATCTTCAGTATAGCTGAGGTCCATCGGCTCTGGACCGCTCGAAGAGCTCGCGCTACCAGCGCTCCAACCAGGTCGCGCCGACCTGAAGTTGTTCTCGGCATTCAATGCCACATCCACCGCCTCTTCGAAAGAGTTAGGGTGTACATGAAACACTTCCGTTCGATCTGCGCTCACACGAAGTCCCTCCATAAACACGGTCACGCTGACCAGTTCTGGAAGAGGGTCCGCCGCCATTCCGGCGATAAGAGCTCTCAACTCTTGGACATAGTCCAATAGATCCTTTTTACCCTGGCGGATAGCAAGGAACTTCGACCGGATACGGTACGCCTGATTAGGCGGCGTGCGACACGCGCGAAAGCTGTTGCTTCAGCTGATCCCAAGTGGGAAATGCAGCGTCAACAGACGTGCCGCACGTTAGTGCCCAATCGCGAGCGCGACCTCCAATCCTGGAGATAGCCAGCGCCACTCGCTGATGCTCAGACTGAAGCAGGGCCAATCCCATGGCCATCTCGATCTCACGGATCCAGAGAAGGAGATTCTCTCCATCCTTCCCCTCGAAGGTTTTTACGCTCACCATGAGCGGTTTCAGTCTCAAAGCCTCTTCACGCGTCATCGACGCCGCCGCCGTTGCGACGCTCATCTTCTCTTGGGCGTGCTCCAAAAACGCGTTCTCGTAGCGGGAGAACGATTCCATCCTGGCTGTAACCGCCTCTGGACCTTGCGATGCAAGATGAGCCGCGCTCTCCGGGCCAAGCAAGGACATAAGCTTAGCAAGCGCTTCCTGCTGCGCCGGGGGTAAATTCGCGAACACGGGGTGTTCCGTCCTCGCAGAGGATATAGTCAACCGACTCAGGAGCGGGATTGACTACAAGTGCTACCAAGTGCAGCGGGACTGCCGTAGCTTTAGCGTCAGAGGAAGACGTTCGACTCAAAGAGTCACTAATACTAAGTTCCTTAATTAAAGGACACTTACAGCCCAAGACCAGGGCTCAAAGTTAATACCTTAACTTTTATGCTTCAAAACCAGAAGTGTTTTATTTACTATTATTGCGGCCAAACCGCCTAGGGGTAAATGTATCTCTTTAACTATCTAGCATAGCTAAACCTAATCAAATGCATAACGTGTGGATTTCAGCCAACGTACTGAGAGACCTTGTTAACTCTCCGGGTACTACGTACCCCTGTGTGCTCCGCACCATGTAACCCCGTTACAGCGGCTTAGGTGTAGTTGTGGGCAGACAAAGAGCCCGGTACCCACGGCGGCTAGCGCGTACGTGCTCATGTACCGCTCGGTGGCAAGCACCAACGTCATGAAGGGATCTCGGGTGTGTTGGGACGACGCAAAGCTGGCGTGGTCTATCGTCGCGCTCGACAAGAGCTGCCCTCCCGGTATATACTTCACGGCTCCCGCTGATCAGTACTGAGTTGCACGAGGCGCAAAAGATCACAGACACGTCGCTAGTGATAGACAGTATGTAATCTTTGCGCTAGTGCAATTGAGAATATGTTAATGCCACAAATAGAAAGATTAAACCACAGAAAATCCATTTACCTGCCACATTTAGTTTCAGAACTTCTGCGACGCCCGCTTCTGGGCCAGAAGCGGGCGTCGCCTGATTTGGGTGTCGAGAGGTGTATCTCGGTACGTCTTTTGCGACCTGGGACGTCCGAGGTGTAAAACCGCGGATACACCGGACGTCGACAGCTCTACACCTTTGCCAGTCCAAATCGGCGACAGTGTAAAGCAAAGCGGTGTGAAGTAACTTAAGTGACAAAGAAATTTTTTAATTTTTATTTTCAAAAATTGACTTTAGAGCAATGGCGATTTAGTGCAGAGCTAACTGGTGGTCGGCATCAAAACCTCTTCTTCTGGCATCATGCCAACAGAACCAAAGCATGGCCTCGCGGCCCGGACACGCGTTCTCGACGCACACAAGGCTGGGCAGGACTGGGCCTTAGTAGCCGATTGCAACGGAATTATCACCTGAGGTGGGCCTGGTGCACTACGCTAAACAGAGAGGCAGCATTAAAATGGAGGTCAATGCTGCGTTTGTGGACGCGGTGTACGAGGCGGTCAAGCACCACGACGTGTACCGCGACCACTTCGCTGGCAAGACGGTTGTCATTGTCTTAGACAACGCTCCTGCTCATAGCCAGACTGAGATTCTGATTACTGAGCAGGAGGACTTGGAGCTGTTGCGGTTGGCACCATACTCCCCCATGTGTAACCCGATTGAGGGTACGTTTTACAGACAATTATAGCGTGCACATGTACTAACATTTGTGTCTATTTTACTGTGCGACAGGGTGTTTTAGTGTATTAAAAGCACGCATTAAGGCTTATCTTGCCTTAAGTCATGATGAAATGTTTCATGCTCCACACGGAGAGAAAACAGAGCGCCGGATGCAGCTGCTTGAAAACGCTGCAGAGCATAGCTTGCCATGTATGGATCTGCGCCTGGTTAACAAGATGGCGCGCCACTGTGCGTTGTCAGTGGCGGCAGCTATTCGTAGCGAACCTATGGAGTACGGCACGTAAAGTTTTGCACTACACTAAATCAACTTTGCATGACAGGCTTTTTCTAAAAAAATAAAATTCGAAAATTAAAAAAACTAATTACGGGACGTTCCACTTTGCTTTACACTGTCGCCGATTTGGACTGGCAAAGGTGTAGTTAGAGCATAAGACCACGCGTAAAATTGGGATGGGAAAAGGCAGGCATCGATTTGCTTTATCTGTGATCGAATTACCATTTCAAAACGGCAAAAATGGTCGAATTACAATGCGGATTTGGTGGTTGATCGGTCGATTTGGTCGATTTATCAGCCAGTCAAGCTAGATCGATGTGTACTTTTTATAGACCTCGATTTATTAAAACGACCTCTATGTATTAAAAATCGAGCATCAGGCTAAGTGAAAAGAACAAAAGCATTGAAATGTACAATAAGTCATACAGCTTATGACGAACAAACCTGTAAAAAAAGCTATGAGCTTGGCAAGAAGAACTGGTATCACGGCGTGGAAGGTGTACACGGCCTTACAGACTTCTATTAATAATTTCAAATACCGGTAACGTCGTAAGATACAACCTAAAGTGTCCGGCGATTTCCGGTAACCTTTCAGTACAGTACATGTACTTAGCTTACTACCGGTACTGTACTGATCAATGCTTTTGTTGTTGAATTCGGTAAGACGTGTTCATGTACTACTTGCGAAGTAAGGGTGCTTATAGTGTACGTGTTCGTTGTAAATACCTATTTCTTTATCTCTCAACGGCGTGCTTGGTCAGAGGTAGAAGGAACATCTCCAAACTCAAGCCAGCGCAATAAACGAGCGACGTGATAATAAAGCACATGCGGTAGCCATACGCATCGATCAAGAAGCCACCCAGCACTGCACTGCCCGACCACGAAAACACTGATAGACCTTCCAACGCATTCCAGCGCGCTCGAATGTTCTTGGGCACATAGTCCATCAGGATCGAGCGACGCAAAGGCTGAGAGCAGCGCATCATGCCCCCTCGCATTAGGAATAACACTATTTGGAGAGCCATGGGTTGCGCATATGCCATCGAGAAGAGACACGCCACGGAGAATGCTCGGGTGAAAGCGATAATGGGCATGCGGCCACAGGACTTCGACAGACGTTGTGCAGCAAACGAAAGGATCATAACGACGAGCGGCTGGCTCATGAACAGCGCGCAGACGTGGATGGGCGTGAGACCGTATTCCTCTTTGAAGAATAACGGGAAGAAATTAATTGTCATACCAGCTCCGTTGCTGATAATAAAGTCCGATACGAACAGGATATAAGGCACGTGTTTGGTGCGGAAACAGAGGAACTTGGCATCAATGTGAGCCATGTATCCTTCCTCATCGTCGTCCACCTCCTGTAGACGTTGTTGCCGTTCCAGATCCAACTCCTGTGCGGTTTTCCCCTTTAATAGTAATAGTGCGGTATTCTCCGTTGCAGTAGGAGGAGAGTTATCATCCACTGTGATGTCATCTTCATCCGGATAGTCGTATACCATGTCGATCTCACTGCCGTTGCCTACAAGTTTGGGAGTACGCAGTGGAGAAGGCTGCACCATTTGCTCCAGTAAAGCTTCTTGTTCTTTCTCCGCTGCAGTCTTATTTATTTGGTAATCCTTGGCACGGTCGTCATCGAATTGGAATAGAATGACTGAGCCAATGACAGCTAATACACATCCGAACTCGAGTACTGGTTTAAGTTCGGGTAGTTGCCACTGATCTCCGTAGAACAAGAAGAGGCAAATACTCAACATAGGTCCCAGCATCTGTGCCAAGTTGCTGATGTTGTACTTGATCATGAACGGGAAGCTGCGCTTTCCGGGAGGGATCGAGTCGGCGAAAAGAGCCTCCATTGCGGGGCTTTGGAAGGCTGCAAAGAGTCCCCAGACCCCAAAGGCCACGTATAATGCATTGATAGATGTCAATTCGACGGAAAAGAAGGTGATAACGGCACCCACAACGCCGATAGCGCCTGAGAGCTTGAGGACAGTATCGCGGCGGATGTGATCGGCGAAATAGCCGCCTGGGAGCGAAAACAAGAGCTGCGAGATGCCCTGGATGCCCTTGACGATACCCACAGGCTTGTTCGATTCTGTCAATACGAACACGTAGCCAGCTACAACTTGTTGGAACAAGATACTGCACCGTTGGTTAGTGGGTGGATGGAATTGACACACTTGATACAGTTGAGACGAACCTTCGAGCAGACCAGAAGAAGAGCGTGAAGATGTAGGCCGTCCACACATTATGCGTGACGCCTTCATTGGACCAGAGTCCCATAGTGAACAAACGAAATGACTAGAGAGGTCGGCGGCGGCTTGGAGAGTGAGAGATCGGTACACTCATCTCGAGCGTATCGGCTCAGTTCTAAAAAAAATGTGACATGTGCGGGGTCTTTTGTTTCAGCCAGTGAAACCGTTTAAAAGATATAATTGGCTGAAATTGCTTCAGTAATTCTACCGGCTCGGTTCACCGTACCGGTATTCTTAGTAAAAGTTAATCTGCACAATCCCTACTTGAAGTATCAGTGTACAGATCGCCATCGCCATGGGTCTCACGCTGTCCTGCGACCGCCGCCCGGTCTTCTACTTCATTGGTGACTCCATCACCGAGCACGGCAGCGATCCGGGCAAGTCCGGCTTCATCACGATCTTGCAGAACCACTACGTTCGCTCTGTTGACTGTGTTAACCGAGGGCTCTCGGGCTACAACACCAAGTGCGTGTCATACGTTGCTGTCCATATTTATCAAAGTCATACTAATTCTGTCCGCCAGGTGGGTGCTGGAGCAGGCTATGCCAATATACTCCAAGGAGCTGCAGTCCGAGTACTCGGCGTCCTTCGTCACGATCTTCCTGGGCGCCAACGACGCTGTACTTGAGCACGGACCCTCCAAAGCACAGTTTGTATCGCTAAAGGACTACCGAGCTAATCTCCAGAAGACCCTTCACATCGTACGGCCGCTACTGGCCCCGCATGGGCAGGTACTACTGATCACTCCACCGTGTATCATTGACTCGCTGCACCACGGAGATCGCTCCAACGCTTCCGCTGGGAAATATGCCAAAGTGTGCGTCGAATTGGCCGCAGCCGAGAACGTCCATGTGCTGGACTTGCACACGTACTTCAACACGACGTTCCCGGACGAAAACGTCCGTAAAGCCTACTTTGTGGACGGCCTGCATTTCTCCGAGAAGGGCAACAAAGAAGTCGGCAAATTACTGGGTGTGGCCATCAACGGAATGTTTGACAAGGAAGATCTCGACAGATTCAACAAGTGGCAACTACCAGATTGGCACGACTTGGTGCCCCACCAGGATGGCGCGCAGGAATGCGAGGAAACGGCTTGACATTACACAGAGAGATGTTCCGCAATGGCTAAAGCCCAGTGACATAATATAGCGCCAACTCCGTTTTGGTGACACAAATTCGTGCCTTTTTCGTGCTTGTTCTTGGGAAACGATTATTATAATACGAACTTTCGCTGCGAAATTGAGCCGAATGTAGTGACGAGGCAGGTTGCACAGCCAAAGAACACTTTCTTCAGTGCAATGATTATCCCCTTTGCCGGTACATATAATTGTGTGGACGCTACTATTCACGGGAATCCCGCGACTAATTTTCCAGATCTTGTTAATCTATCCCAACTGTTGTTTTTCCCATGTAAATTTTTACTGTTCCTGCGGATGCTGTTGAGTCTGGCTTGGCACCATGAAAATCGCGTCGCAGCGATCTGCTGATCATTGTCAGATCCTAACAGTCAAGCCCCAACGACGCAAGACAGGATGCTGAAGAGCACGCGAAATGGCTCTCTTACAGCGGAAGACTTGAACCTCAGAGAGACCGACATTCAGGTGCGAGTGCTCGAGGCCTCGGACGAAGAGACCTCGACGTCTTCGTCCAATTCGGAGCACCAGACATTTCTAGAGCACGCCGATGCCAGTACCAAGTCTTCGATGGAAAAGCTTCCAGAGTCCAAGCCTTTACATGCCCCACCGACGAAAGTTCTATTCCTTGATGGCGTGCGTGGACTCGCAGCTATCCTGGTCGTCGCCCAGCACTCGAAAGAGTATATGCAAGGCTTTAATCTTGGCGCAGTGGCTGTGGACGCGTTCTTCGTGTTGTCCTCCTTCCTATTGACGTGGCTTTTCATGAAAAAGAGCATGAAGTTGATGGCTCAAGGCGCAGGCATTCGAACGTGGATCTTCGCGTTGGTGGACTATTTCTCAAAGCGATTCTTCCGCGTGTATCCACTTTTCGCAATAACTGTGATAGCGATCTCGTTCATGTCCGCAGAAGATCAGAACCGCTACTTCCTCTTCAAGAACCCCGGTGACTTTGATCTGTATCAGGTGCTTACGTTCGAGTTCAACCATCGGCAGTTCGTGCTCTGGACTCTACCACTGGAAATCTCGTACTATTTCGTCATTCCCGTGTTCGTGTTGGCTATCCTGGGTATGCGTCGCTATTGGTGGCTTGCTGTGGCTCCGATGGCTATGTGGGTTGTACGCCAGGGCGTCAACGAGTACCGCACGAGCCACACTCCGTTAGAGCCGCACATTCCAACATTCATATCGGGTTCGCTGGCTGCTGTCGTGTTCGTAAAGCTGGACTCATGGATCAAGAACACAGGGTTCCAGTTTCGCTGGTGGCATACGTTGACGCTTCGAATTGTGGAAAGTCTGACGATTGCCGTGTTGTTAAGCGTCTGCTTCAAAGGACTGTTCTTTGATTGGGTCGAGCCGAATCCTGTGCCGGTGGCGAAAGGTTTCCCGTTTGTAAGCGCGCTGTTGACGACGATCTTTGTGATTGAATTGCTGCGTCCGTCCTGCCTGTCGACGATGTTTGAGTGGAGTGTGCTGCGGTACTGGGGAAAGATCAGCTTCTCGGTCTATTTACTGCACAGCTTCGTCATCTGGAACCCGACGATCAGCGCCCAACCGAAGTATTACAACCGACTATTCGCACGAGTATCGTTACTTTTGCTACTTGCGACGACGAGTTACTATTTGGTCGAGTATCCGTCGCAGTTGCTTGCTCAAAGGATCTCCCGCTTCCTCACTGCTCGAGCGACTAGAGGATCGGGCAGCTTGGTAAAGTTCACGTGTATGGAAAGGATCAACATGATGAAACAAAGAACTACTATGAAGTAGATAAGAGATCGATAAAATACATGTATCAGTGCTTTATACTGTAGAACTTCGTAATCGAGAGATTCAATGTGTGAGCGTAAAAACGTCGGACGGCAAGTAAAGTCACGCCTCTTTTAGAAGCGGGTCCGTGCTATACTCAACGTTGGTGAAACAAAAAGCTACAACCACACGGTTTACCGTTTGTGGCTTGCGTACATGTACTAATCGAGGGATTCGCTGTTCGTCTCGGGATTTCGGATGGCGCGACCAGCCTCGTCAAGTATCCCGGCTCTGGCTTCCCAGCTGCATTGTGAGCATCGCCCACGATGAGTGTGATGCTGCGATCCGTGTTCACTTCCAATTCGTCTCTACGTCAAGCACAAGAGTTGACTCAACTGTTGAAATATGTTGCAGGACATGGGGAATAGCAAACCTAGAGATCAAAATGAAGGAGACTCGGCCACGCCAAGTGGGGAAGTTCATCTACAAGTAATTGAGCTTACGGATGAAGAGACATCGACGTCCTCGACGGATTCGGAGGACCAGACCTTTGTAGGACAAGCAACTACCAGCACGAAATCGTCCGTCGAAAAGCTCCCGGAATCAAAGCCGACAGCCCCACAGCCACAGGCGAAGGTTCTGTTTCTCGATGGCCTCCGTGGACTCGCAGCCATGCTGGTGGTTGTACAACACTCGCATGAGTTCGTCCCGTCGCTTCATCTCGGATCTGCCGCTGTCGACGTGTTCTTCATTCTGTCGTCATTCCTATTAACTTGGTTGTTTATGAAGAAAAGTATGAAGCTACTCGCGCAAGGTGCTAGTGTTCGTACGTGGGTATTCGGACTGCTTGACTACTTCCAGAAGCGGTTTTTCCGAGTCTACCCACTGTTCGCAGTGACTGCGGTCGTGCTTCATTTTCTATCATTTGAGAACCAGCATCGCTACTTTATTGTGAGGAAACCCAACCAGGTCCCACTGTACGAGACGCTGACGTTCGAATACGAACATCGTTATCACGTGTTCTGGACGTTACCGCTGGAGATTGAGTACTACTTTATTATCCCCGTATTCGTACTGGTAGTACTACGTCTGCGTCGTTACTGGTGGGTTGGAGCAGTTCCACTATTCGTATGGATTGTACACGAAGGTTGGACGCTGGTTCGCAACAGCCACACGCCACTTAGCCTCCATCTCCACACGTTCATGCTTGGGTCACTGGCAGCCGTGGTATTTGTGAAGATCGATTTGTGGATTAGGAAGACGGAGTTCAAGTTCCGCTTGTGGCACACGGTGCTACTTCGAGCAGTAGAGTTTCTCCTCATTGCTCTGATGTTGAGTGTGCTCTTCCGTGGCCTTCTGTTCGACTGGGTCATGGCAAACCCGGCGCCTCCACCTGAAGGATTCCCGTTTATCAGTGTCTATGTGGCGTCGATTATTGTGATCGAGATTCTTCAGCCGTCGTTTGTGTCTGCAATGTTGGAGTGGAGTGTGTTACGGTTCTGGGGCAAGATCAGCTTCTCTATCTATCTGCTGCATACTTTTGTGATAAAATACCCTGCGATCAGCCACCAGCCCAACTATTTCAACCGCTTCTTCGCTCGGTTGTTCTTGGTGATTGCATTGGCAACCGCGTCATATTATGCTATCGAGTATCCGTCCCAGTTAATGGCGCAGAGAATCTCTCGCTTTCTTGCAGCTCAAGAGAAGAAAGGTTCGGGTAGCTTGGGGAAGTTCGCATGTATGGAGAAAATCAACAGGAGAATGCAAAGTACTACCGTAGAGGCGAAGTAGGTCTGCTCGGAAATATTACAGTAATGTGCTACGAGTAATATAATATCGGTATGTGTGAGAAGAAGTACTCTTTTTGATGTCACAAATTCGAGAGAAAAAATACACCAATCTTAAATATTTTGCGACGCAAAAACTGAGACACTCGATTTCAAGATTAGGACTCGTGTGATATGAAAAGTAATGAATCTATCCATAGCAGGTAGAGAAGGGTATTGAATTTGACTGAGTTTGGCCCCCTGTTACTTGAATTATTCTCCATGATGATCTTTAATTACGATTTGATATCATACATGAGAGGTTTTGACAAATCTCATGGGTCACCAAAGAAGGGTCCTGATAAAAGTAATTAAGGAACGCCTGATATAAATTAAGAAAGAGATTGCAAAAGCTGACAATGCCTCGCTAAAAAAAGACTATGATATCGGATCATGCGCATGTATTGAATTAAGTTAGAATATATTAAAGATTCAACTTTTGAATGAGACCAGAGTGATTCCAGCAGTGCTGAATCCTGGCAGCGCTAACTTCAGACCATGCAGCCTCGCACCAGAGCAGTGCAGTTAGCTGTACGGGTTGTCGAGGCCTTCGCCTAGGCGATCCAATGCGAGCATTATTTTTTGCGATAAGATGTAGCGTTAAATGCTATTGATGATTTCCTCAACACGGACGTTGCTTAGAGAGAGACCAACCTCTGCTCCTTCTTCCGTACAACCTTCTCCACAGGCCGTCCGCGCAGCACAGCACTTGATTTAAGTATACGGCACATTGTCGTTTTGCCAGGGGCCGTTGGAGGCCCAAACTCTTCAACCGTCCACTAGCTAGCTCATTATACGACAGACTAGGTGAGCGAGCAGTCTTCTCGAGGATGGCTACCTTCTCGGACCAGGTGAGGCGGAGACGATTGGAGGACATGGGGGTGCTGAGGACGCAGTCGGCTAGTGAGCTTGAATGTAAATGTAGGAATGAAGTTCGGCTCGTAGGGCTTGAAGCGAAGGAGGATCACCTACTGTGCGCCATTCTTTAAATTGAAATCGAAGTCAGTCCCTAGATTGTTTTGTCAGTCCTTGCCACTCACTATCCCATATCCCTAAATCTTTCACGACTATAAATATTACGAGGTTATTAGTTGAAACCCCGCTCCTTATTCAGGCAGATTTCTGTTTTAACCAGGATTCTCTTATTCAAAACAAAAAAATATGAAGAAGCAGCACAAACACAGTATGATGCGCACAAAAACCGGCGTCATCAGTCATTTAGTCCTCCTCAGCATCAGAGCTACAATTTAACTACTATCTATGTCGGACTCGGCACTTCCATCACTATCTTCGTCGTTATCCTCCGCTTGAAATACAACCTTGTAAATGTCTTCTAGCGTATGGTCAGCCTTACGAATGCACCCTTGCACGGTGGACGGCTTAAGATTGTCAAATGCCGCTGCT